TAATAATGATGTGGTATGAATGTAAATAATATTATTATAGTTTAGGCCCTTGATGGGTAAACACATAAAAATTCCGGGGTATGTATCTAAATACCCTAAAATATATAAAGTTTTGGGGAAAAAAAATCAAATTTAAACATGGATGTATTTAGAATATGATAATTATATGAAGATCTGTTATTGATTAAGTTAATTTTATGAAAATTCATTATTTTTTGTAGTTTATTTTTCATCAATTTATTATTAATTTCTTTATTGTTGGAAAAAATATTACATCAGAACTCGCACGTAGAGTTACGTGCGGAGTTCAATGAAATCACGCCACACACGCGAATGTGAGAAAAAGAAAAATCGGCCCGGTAACACAGTGAAATATTCCTCCCATGTTATTCAGGTGTTATTGTGTGTTATTGATGTGTTATTGTCTAATTATAACACCAGAAATATTCCGAGAACACAATGACACATGAATAACATACAATAACACCAAAAAAACACGGGGGGAATAATATTCCCCAGGGGCGATTTTTTTGGCGTGATTTCATTGGACTCCGCACGTAACTCTACCTGCGAAGTCCTGATGTAATATTTTTTCATATTGTTGAGAGTGGCGAAGTTATACTCCTTTAAATACGAGAAAATATTACATCAGGAGTCCATATATGATTTCATGTGAGGATGATAGTATTTATTTGCTATTGGCAGAATTTGATATTATTTTATCAAAATAACACCACAATACTATTAATAACACATTTAATAACATCATCAGCATCTAATCCGGATATATGATTTTTTTCTCTTTAAATAGGGACAGAAGATAAAGCACCAAAATCATCTTCCCGCCGGTCCAAAATAATGAAAATTTCAAGAATCTCGTCAACTTTAGGAATAATTACAATTTATATCCATATTACTGAAATTAATTAACTCCTTTGCTTTTCATTTAATATTCATTGACCTTGTCATGGACCTCATCCAACAAAATTTAAATCTTATAATAAGATTTTTAAAATCTATCATGACAAATATTTTGAAGATTTACATACAAACCACTCAATTTTTATGCATTTACATTTCTCACACCTGAAGTTCAATTTTTACATATTTATCACATTTTTCAAGCATGAAAAAGGAGCATTTCAATTTTCTTAAGTTAACATAGTGATTTTTTTTTTTTATGTGATAGTAATGATTTGTTTTGTATAAATATAAAAATCAATGCTTGGATGTTAGAAGTGTAAATACATAAGAACCGGATGATATGGATGTAAATGCCTCAAATATCTTTTTATTCTCTCCAAACCAAACTTCCTTGATAATGGACATATGTTGCAGCGGAGAGGAGCTTAATCATCTGTTCAATTGAAAAAGTTTCATTAAATGTGTTGAGGGTGTGTGCCCCTTACAGGATAATTTTATAATCGTACTAAGAGTAATATATAATAAATAAATAAATAAATATATATTTAAGGGGCTGGATATTCGCCAAGATGGAGATTTGTTATATATGACTCATATACTAGAATTTGGAGTCTTTTGGAGTGAAGAGATGTGTCTCTTGGAGATAAGTGCGTTGGGGGGAGTGAGGGTCTGCTAGTAATTTTATTTGTGGGTTATGACTATATATATGATGTGTAACCTTATGTGTATGTATTGTACTCCTCTGAAATAGTGAAATTCGCCGTTCTGCTCCCGAGAAAGCAGACATCTTTGTCAAACCTCGTTAAATTTCTGTGTTCTTCTGGTTTTTGTGTCGATTCCTATTTTTCTTCGCTCTAATTTCTCAACAATTTGTATCAGAGAAATATTCTAGAGCGGAGAAGATCGACGCAAGAAGAAGATTTAACAAAGAAGATTCACAGAGGAAGGTCAGCTAGAGTTCGTGCATGAATAGTTTGAGATTGCGACAGAAGCATTTGAGTTCGGAGAGGAGCAGTTCAGTTCACTAATTTACGGGAGGGCTTCTTTCGCCTGCGAAGTTTGAGCAGGTAATCACGAATCACATAGTTTGAGTAGGTGATAACGAATCGCGGCATCTAGGGTTCTTCCTCGCGATGTAGAGGAATTCGCGCAACCAGGTGAAGGCGAAGTTCAGAGGCTTGAAGAGTTTCGGTAAGGGTTTGCGACAGTGTTCTAGATTTGTGAACCTCTAGCGATACAGGAGTTCAGCGACGCAGGGTTCTTTGAGCAGTTTGGCGCGACAGATTTGCGTGGAGTTCGCGGGTGTTACGTAGAGGATCACAACAATTTCGCAGAGCAGTTTGCGAGTAGAAGATCGAGCGTCAGTTCAGTTGAGCGGAAGAGTTCGTGAATCGTCACAGCAGTTCTCAAATCGTCGTGACTACTTGCAGGAAGGAGTTAGCGCGGCCAGGAAAGTTCAAAAAATTTGGTGCAACTCCGCAATAAGGTGATCAGCGCGGACAGGCTTCTTCGGGCGACAACCGGGGAGTGCATGATAGGAGGCTTTGCGTGACTTCAGCAGTCAGATTAGCGCGACCGAGAGTCCGCGATAGAAAGTTCGCACGAGAGGGCTGTAGCGATAGCAAAAGAGGCAGTCGAGCGGTTTGCCAGTTTCGCAGAGGAGGAGTTCACGTGCAGTTACTACGAACAAAAGCATCGTTTTGCAAACAGAGGAGTTCAAACAGCAGAGCTTGCAAATTTGTCGCAAGAGGTGTTGCGATAAGTGGAGTTCAGCTGAGGCGTTCATGTGAACATAAAAGGGCTTCGAGCAAGGTGTTTGCAGTAGTTTGACCAAATTTTTTTTTGTGCGAACAGAAAAAGTTTGCTACAGGATTAAATGCAAATAACAATGTTTATTGTAAAATTTGAGAAAGTGAAGTTCGATGGAACCGTAAATTTCAGATTATGGCAAATAAGGGTGAAAGATTTGTTGGCACGACATAAAATTTTGAAGGCTTTGCGAGCTACGAAACCTGATAATATGGAAGATGAAAATTGGGAAGAATCACAATTACGAGCGACATGTACCATACGTTTATGTCTAACAGATGAGAATATGTATCATGTTATGAATCTGAAATCTCCAGGAGAAGTATAGAAGAAATTAGAATCTCAGTTTATGTTTAAATCCCTAACAAATAAATTGTATAAGAAGCAAATACTGTATGAGCTGAAGATGCAGTCAAACACTAATCTGGCGCAACATTTGAATTTCTTCAATCAAATAATCACAGCGAGTATTGAGGATGAAACCGAGCAATGATTTGACTGTGTTGATTGTCTTTCTTCTATGAACATCTGGTGACTACTCTAACATATGAGAAAGAAATATTCAAAATTGATGAAATTACTGCAGCATTGTGTCTCACAACCAGCGAAAGCAGAATGCAAGGGAATTTTCTCATGGTAATTGTTTATATGTTAAGGGTAATCAGGATCGTGGAAGGGAGGAGGCGAAGGAGAGTTTTGGAATGTGAAATTTCAGGTCAAAGCCTAAAGGCAGAAAGATGATTCATTGCTACAAGTGCAAGGAGTCGGATTATATGAAGAGAGATTGTCTAAAACTCAAGAAGCAGTTTGATGAGAAACATGATTTATCTTCCAAGTCCATGAATATGGTGCAGAGTGACGTTACATATTACAGTGATAGTGATGCACTTTCAATTACAACAACTCAGTTGAAGGATGCATGAATTCTTGATTTAGGATGCACTTATCACATGACACCTAACAGGGAATGATTTACTTCATACAGGTTATCTGATTTTGGTTCAGTCTATTTGGAAGATGATAAATGTTATAATATTGTTTGTATTGACAAAGTTAGAATTAAGATGTATGATGACACTGTCAGAATATTATGTGATGTAAAACATATTCTAAATTTGAAGAAGAATTTAATTTCCTTGAGTACTTTACATAGAAATGGTTTTATTCCTAAGGTAGACGAGGATATAGAAACCATCAAAATTATTAAAGGTGCATTGATTGTGACAAAAGGAAAGATCATTGCTAGAAATATCTATAAACTATTGGGGAGTACAATTATAGGTGAATTTACTCTGTTGAATCATATGATGAAACTGCAGCAGATATGTTGATCAAGCCAGACACTATCAACAAGTTCTTGTATTGCTTGAACTTTTTAAATGTTTGCAATTGTTAGTCGGCATGGTTGTCCAACTCACTTCGGTATAAGAAACTTCATGATGTATTTTTTCTAAGGGGCTGGATATTCGCCAATGTGGAGATTTGTTAAGTATGACTCATATCCAGAATTTGGAGTCTCTTAGAGTGAAGAGATGTGTCTCTTATAGTGAAGATGTGCGTCTCTTGGAGATAAGTAGGTTGGGGGAGCGAGGATGTGTTAGTAATTTTATTTGTGGGTTATGTCTATATATATGATGTGTAACCCTATGGGTATATACTGGACTCATCTTAAATAGTGAAATTCGCCGCTCTGCTCCCGATGACGTAGACATCTTTGTCAAACCTCGTTAAATCTCAGTGTTCTTCTAGTTTTGTGTCGATTCTTGTTTTTCTTCGCTCTAGTTTCTCATATATATATATATATGTATATATATATGTATGTAGTAGAAGTTTGCTTCAGGAAATTTTGAAAGCCGTCGCTATTCGCTCCGAGGACGTAGGCACATTGCCTAACCTCATTAAATCCTGTGTTATTGTCTTTCTTATTTTCTTCATTCATATTCTTATGATTATTAACATGGTTCCTCAACAAGTTTGAATAATGTTAACTACAATTTTGCTGTAAGCTCTGATACAAAATCAATTTTGCATATATGAATAATTGTTTTGTGATGTAATTATCTTGAAATAAAATAATTTCAGGACAACTATTATGATATAATACGTAATATCTCCCACAACTTGTGGCATTTCTTAACAATATATAGGCGGAATCAGACTCTTGGACTATATGGTCAACTACTACCTCCAAATATAATCTCTTAAATTTGATTACTTATATTGTCACATCAGCCGTCGGTGCACAAAACCGCCAAAAACTTATAGAAGAGACCTTCCCGGAGAGACAGAGAGAGAGTGTGTAGGCATGGAGGAGTTGAGGAGCACAGAAAGGATGAGCTCAAGAGCGACGTCGGAGGAGAACGGACGAGAAGATGAGAAGGAGTTGTTTGCTTCTCTGATGAGGCTTCCAACTTTGAAGCAACTTCGGACGGCTATTCTCAAGTCCGCCGCCGACGACGACTGCAATGGCGGCGGCGGAGATATGGAGAAACGAAAGCTTCATGAGCTGAAGTTGGTGGATGTTCGCAAGCTCACCTATAGCCAGCGCCGAGAGTTCGTCGAGCAGGCTTTTAAAGTTGCTGACGAAGACAACGAACGGCTCCTTAAGAAGATTAGAGAAAGAATTCTGCAGTGAGTTTTCTCTTTTATATATATATATATATTTCTTGAAAAATAAACATTAAAAATTGATGCTATAAAACCATTGAGATTAATGGAACATGCTTGAACTTATAATTCAACGAACTTGGTAAGTATGATTTAATCACTGTCACAGAGAGTAGCATATTCAATATAACTGATAATTATGCCAGTGAAAAATATATTAACTACTTCTATCAAATCAACTTTTACCAAACATTAATAGTACCGTAAGTACGACTGATAGATGGGCAAAAAATTTCCTAACTCCAGCACGAATTTTAAAATATGACACCCATCTTGATACAATTGTTGTTTAAACCTTGATAAAAGGTCATCCAGATGTATGATTTCAACGAACTTAGAGTTAAGCTAATCGGCTCAATGAGATGAGCCCAATGATGTCAAAATTAGTCTAATTAAAGTCAAACCAAGCTTAGGTCAAATTATTAAACCACCTTTGAAAATTTTCCGAGCATTTTTAGAGGGTCAAACGAATGTTGAATTTAGTAAGCCTGTAGTCGAATCAAGCGTCTCAATACAAATAATTCAGAGGGGCTAAGATTGCTCAATTTCAGCATCTTTAGAACACTCAAATGTCCATCAAATACTGTATGATCGAAGAAAGCTCTCCGGTCCACCCGTTCAAAGTGGTTCATATTCCTGCATTAATTGCACCAATAATACTATAAATAAAGTCACACCCCTCCCATGAGGAGGGGGAGAGTTTGAGATATGAGAAAGAGTTTGAAGCTTTGAGAAAGAGCTGAGGTCCAACACTATCACTGTCAACCATCGTCAACCACCACTGACCTCTGTCGACTCTTGCCTTCGTCGACTATCACCGACCGTCCCTGACTTTTGCTGATCATCTTCGACAACCGTTGGTCGTCGTCAACCACCACTGATCTTTGTTGACCAACGCCGACCCCATCAATCACCGCTAGTCTCTATCGACCACTGCTGGCCGTTGTCGATCACTTCCAATTACTGTCGACCACGATCGATTAGACACTGTCAATTGCTATCAGTCGTCGTTCATACCTAACAATAAATTCATTGTCATGTCGATGTTATAACTTGGGAAACCTTGTAACCCTTTCCCGCCTATGAGACAAGTAGTTGCGATTATAATCATTTTCTTATAGTGGAACTCTTCAACTAGGTCGTGTCCCATAGATTTTCTCTTTCCGGGTTTTCCATTTAAGACTTTTGGTGTCATTATTAGTTGTTTTATTTTTTCAATGTGTGTTGAATTTTCGTACAATGCTAATATAATAATTTGCTACTCTACTGCAGCAAATTTTTTAGCACGCATTAAAAAACAAAGAACATCTCGTTCAAAATTTAATACATATTTTATAGTAAATTACAAATCTTATCACCTCTAGTTCATCACATCTCCATTTTTAGAAGTTTAGGTGGACTTGTGATATCACGAATCAAAACAAACACTTTAATTTTTTTTAAAGATTTTAAGTATCAATCATCCAAAATTTTAAATATTATTTAATTCATCTAAACTTAAATTTTACATTTCACCAACCAAAATTTTATTTTCTTTTTAATTAGTGAATGGTTAATTGGCTAAATTTAAAATTTTGGGTTTTTTTTGGGTGGTTGAATTTATAAAATTTTAAGTTTAGATGATCAATCAATTATATTTAAAATTCTAGGTGATTGGTGTGTAAAAAAATGTATTCTTTTAATTTTAATTGAAATTATTATTGATATACCATCAACAAATTTATATCACCTTGCACGAATCTCTAGGCATGACACAGATCTTGAGATAATTTTTTGAGCAAGAAATGTTAAAAAAATTATTTCAAAAGTCACTCGTAACTCCTATTTCAACATATTTACAGTCAAACTAAACGACACAATGAACTGACCAAACAATATCAAAATTGTTTCAATCCAAGTCAAATCAAACCCAAATCAAGCCATCAAACCACTTCAAGGAGCTTTCCAAGCATAATTGAAAAGTCAAACTGATTCCAAATCTGACATGTTTATAATCAAATTGAGTGTCTCTGTGATACAAATCTAACGAGTCTAAAATTGCTCAATTCTGACATTATTCAGACCCATAAATACTCATAAAACACTGTCTGATTTAGAGAATATCTTTGGGTCGTCTGATCATAATGATCCAAACTCTTTCTTTATTTTCAACCATAACTCTATAAATAGAGCCCTACGTTTCTCTTGAAAGGGGGGAGAGACTTGGATCCAGTAGAAAAACTGAAGCTTAAAAGAGGAGCTGGACTCCAGCATCGGTTATGCACCGTAGACCCTATGAATGCCTCCCACTTCGGCAGCCTCTGCCGCTAACTCTATCCAACACCGCCAGCGAACTCTGGATGCCGCCATAACATACCCACTTTAACTTCCGCTACCGGCCGAATCCAAAAAACTTCGACTGTCATCGCTGCTAGCCAACTCCGGTTGCCGCCACCGCCGCCTCTAGCCAGCTCTATTTAGAGTAGTCGACCAGCTTCAAACACCACCTGTAGGCTATCGTCTAGTATCACCGGCAACCACATGTTCCTTGCAATAAAGTCTCTTTTGAAGTCACAACATGTGCTTCAAAATCACAACATATGTTATGGAATGACGACACACATCTATAACAATATAACAATGCACCCCAAATATGATATAACAATGCATTATGAAAACGATGTAACAATGCACCTCTTAAATAATGTAATGGCGCATCTCGAAGACCGTGTAATAGCTCATCTTGAAAATGATGTATCAATGCATCCCAGATACGGTGCAAAGACACTCCTTGATGATGGTGTAACAACACATCCTGTATACGGTGTAATGGCACCTCCCAGAGACAGTGTAACAACTCACTTCATATGTGATGCAATGACACATCCCGATGACGGTATAACAACACCTTCACATATAGAGCTACAACACTTTCTGAATATAGTGTAACAATGCTCCTAGATGATGATCACTTTCTCCGGACTCCTAAAGTTCTCTCGTTGTAGCTCCCAACTCAGGCCTCCGCGGCCTACAGACGTCATTGCAGCTCATCACTATAGCCTACGCGACCAATTATAGCCTACGTGGTCCAAAACTCGTGCAGCCCTCGACTTCCTATGCGACCCACAAAAAGTTTCCACAACTCACCACTAGGCATACGTGACCAACCACGGCCTACATGGTCCATAGCTTGTAAAAATCCCGACTCTGAACCCTGCGGCATAAGAACTTCATCACAACTCACCACCAAGGCTTACATGATGAACTATTATCTATGTGGTTCATTGTTTTTGCAGCTCTCAACTCCAGCCTCTACAAATCTACAGATATCATCACAAATAACCACTATGGCTTATGTGATCAACTATTACCTACGTGACTTACTACATATGCAAGTCACTCATACAACTCTTAACTCTTGCATCCGTAACTTACGTATGCCATTGCAGCTCCCTGCTATGACTTATATGAATAGCTAAAACATACACAACCCACAGCTCACAAAACCCCCATTATCTGATCTCTATAGCATACTATGACGTTATCAAAACTTGCCACCATAACATATGTGACAAACTACAACTTACGTTGCTCACAACTCATGTATTACATCTTTTGTGGCTAACTAATGCTCCAAATGCAACCATTAATGACCCATACGACCAATTATTTTCATGACTTTCAATTATGACAAACGTGACAAGTTAGCGTCACAACCACCGTCTGCAACATTCAAAATAGACTACCGCTTCCACAACAATCAACTATAATCCTTACAACTTGTTATCAGCAAGAGCCATATTTATTATAACCAGACTATGACTATTGTTAACTAACTACCTCTGTGCATATAAAAAGATCAATTTGGTAACTTCATCTTCCCTAATTCAGGAGAAGAGTTGACATATATACTCACCATTTATAGTGATTTCAACTAGCTTGAGCATCGACACATTCATGGGAATCGAATCTTTTATCTCTCCAAATACGTGTGATCGCTCATAGTACCGTGTCGACCGCTAGTCAGAATGGTTCCACTGACCTCTTTTGCCCTGGTTACATCCTCGGTTATCTTTGGGTCAAGGATTTTCGTTCTGTCAATCATAAGGGGCTCGATCACCCTTCGACTTTTTCCCCTTGTCTAGATCCCTTTAGTAATGTTACCGATGATCGGATGTCCCCGGTTTGGCCTCTGAGGAGTTCATTAAGGATTTCCTCGGCAATGATGTGGTAGTTAGTTAGTTTCAAAACCTCGATGAAGAACCTAGGCTTGAGCAGGTTTAGGTATTACTTGAATTGGTTGTTGTGGATTCCCTGCTTTAGGGCTATTCTAGCGATGAGAGGCTCCAGATCTTTCACTTCCTACATCTTCTTCTGGAATTGAGTGATGTAAGCCTGCAGTCATTTTCTCTTCTTGTTTGATATGAAACAGAGTCTCGATATCCTTCCTTTGCTTTTGTACGTTACCGAAGTGAGCCAAAAAGGGGCTCCTGAATTCATATAAGGATGATTTGATTCGGTAGATTGTTGAACCACCGAAGACCCGACTCCTTCAGCATGGTCATGAAAAGTCGATAGTTCATCGTGTTGTCGATCTGTAGGACTCCGACCGATGATTTTAAGGAAATCACGTGGTCGATCAGGTCATTCTTTCCCTTGTAAAGATTCTAAATGAGGAATCCTTAGCTTTGTTGGGCGTAATATTTAGAATTTATAGAAAAAAAAGACACTACCTGCAGTTGATCGGGTGGACTCTCGCACTCAATCCTTTCGATGCCCGAGCATCATTGTAGATCCCACACTATATATATATATATATAATTTCAGGTAGACATATTTTAATTTTAATATACATGTAGATGTATGTATATACATATCTGCGTGTGTGTGTGAATGAGGGAGGGAGTTTTAAATAGAACTAGAGAACTACGGTGAACTACAAGTGTATTGTAAATACGTAAGAATTGTGTGGTATGTATGTAAATGCCCCTTTTATATGCAAATATTATTTCCATTAATAAGAAAATGCCCCTTTCATATACAAAGAGTATTTCCATTAATAAGAAAATCCCTAACATCAGATAGATAATGCAGGGTTGGAATCCAGTTGCCGACCGTTGAGGTTCGGTTTGAAAAGCTTAATGTAGAAGGGGAGTGCCGCGTCGGCAGACGAGCGCCGCACGCACCCCCTTTAACGTCGCCGATTTGGCCCTCCACAAAATCGGCGTAAGCCTCACCAAACACACCAAGCTCTCCATCCTCAAAGATGTCTCCGGCATCGTCAGGCCCTCTAGGTCCTTTCATCGAACACCTTGCCTGCAACCACCAACCTCTTTCATCATCTTTGTCATCTTCACCAAAAATGGTAAATAACTAATCTTTTTTTTTGAAAGAATTTTACAGGATGACGCTCTTGCTAGGCCCTCCCGCCTCCGGAAAAACCACTCTTCTTCAAGCTTTAGCTGGAAATCTGAACTCCAGTCTCAAGGTTTGTTGTCTGCAATAGAATTCCCTGGCTTTATAAGATTTGGGACTGATTACTTAATAATTAGGCAAGCGGCGAGGTTACTTACAATGGGTACAAGTTCGATGAATTCGTTCCCCAGAAATCTGCGGCATACATTGGAGCAAACGACGTCCATGTGCCAACGATGACCGTTAGAGAGACTCTTGATTTCTCTGCTAGGTGTCAAGGCGTCAGAGCCGCTGATTATGGTGTGCAAATATATTCCTAAGATTTCATATTTTCCTTGTAACTGTATAAATTGATCAAATAAATGGAGAGTGAGTTTCAACTCATTTGTAAAATGGCACATTTAAAATGGCGCAGAACTGCTTAAGGAGCTTTCAAAGAGGGAGAAAGCTGCAGGAATACTCCCTGACGCAGAAATTGACCTTTTCATGAAGGTTGGTTATTATTATGATTATTTTTTTGGCATTTTCATTGCATTATTTTTCTTCTTGCTTTTATGGAGGAACACCTATACATAGTAATAGAATTTATTGAAAATAATTGATTTTTTATTGTAATTGATTTTTAATTGGAATAATAGTTATGTAGCTGTGTTTTTATTCATTATTTACTAGTTTTTACTAATGATCTATTTGAAATCTTGCAGGCTACTTCAGTAGAAGGGGTGAAGCATAGCCTCCAAACAGAATATGTTATTAAGGCACGCCTGTTTGTGACATTTTAATTTTTGGGACATTTTTTTTTATTTTTTTCCAAAAAAAAAAGATTTTTGTGCAATCATGTACCAGTACATTGCACTCAACATTCTTTGTTTGGCGCTCAATGTGGTAAATTTTTTTTATCTTACTAATAAATATCCAAACTGTGACGTGTTGAAGGTATACTCTGTTGATGCAGATACTTGGGTTGGATATATGTGCTGATACTCTTGTTGGAGATCAGATGAGAAGAGGGATCTCTGGTGGACAGAAGAAGCGGCTCACCACCGGTTCATTTCTTGCCACTATATTTTTTTTTGGGAAAATTTGCATACCTAGCAAACGATTCAAATGAATTTTTATAGCGATTTTTTCTTTACATATGAGTTAAAAGCTCAACACAAATACCAATTTGCTGTTTTGCTTGCATAAGCTCATGCTTGCAAATTTCATATTTTGTTGGGAAATTTACATATGTATAGCATTACATATCTTACACAAATTTTTATATTTACATTCATAGCAATTTGACGCTTTAAACTAATGCATGAAAAGGTGTATTTCACTTTTAAAAAGTAATAATAGAGCTATTTTTGATATGATAATAAAGACTTAAGTGCTATGTGTGTAACTATTAAAGTTTAATGTAAGATATGTCACTAGAAATGTGTGCTATGTATGTAAATGCCCCTATTCTTTTTTGGTGGCTACCTCTTGAACAAACTTAACATTAACTAATTACAGGCGAAGTGATTGTTGGGCCGACAAAAGTCTTATTCATGGATGAAACATCAACTGGATTAGACAGCTCTACAACTTACCAGATTGTGAAGTGCTTGCAACAAATTGTGCATCTAGGGGAGGCCACCATACTGATGTCTCTCCTCCAACCAACACCTGAGACCTTCAATCTCTTTGATGATATTATCCTTTTAAGTGAAGGTCAGATAGTTTACCAAGGTCCACGTGAGTATGTTCTTGATTTCTTTGAATCTTATGGATTTCGCTGTCCTGAGCGAAAGAGCGTTGCCGACTTCCTCCAAGAGGTCATCTCTCACAAGGACCAAGCGCAATACTGGGCTCATCATGCTCAGCCTCATCGCTATATAACTACCCAAGAGTTTGCTGATCACTTCTACCAGTTTCATATTGGACTGCATCTAAAAAATGAGCTCTTAGTTCCTTTTGACAAGACCAGAAATCACCATGCTGCGCTTGTCTTTAAGAAGCATGTTGTCCTATTCTCAGAACTGCTAACTTCCTCCTTTGCAAAAGAATGGCTCCTCCTCAGGAGAAATTTGTTTCTTTACGTCTTCAAGTCTATCCAGGTTCCATGCATCCTCAAATTTGATTTTCATTCTAAAAGTACCAACAAATAGAACATATACTGATGCAGTATGTGATGCATGTAAGATAATACTAATTGATGTCCATATTGTTTTGAAGATCATTCTTGTTGCATGCATCGTCTCAACAGTGTTCTTGAGAACACAGACAGAAGCAGACACGATATCTGATGGCCTTTTGTACAATGGTGCTCTTCTATTTGGAATGATGTGCAACCTTTTCCATGGTTTTGTAGAAATATCTCTGACCATTGCAAGGCTTCCAACCTTCTACAAGCAGAGGGATCTCCTTTTCTATCCTGCATGTCCTGCATGGACCTTCACTGGACCTTCACTCTTCCATTAGTTTTTCTGAGGATCCCAATCTCAATGCTGGAGTCCACTTTTTGGGTTGTTATAACATACAACATAATTGGGTTTGCACCGGAGGCTAGCAGGTAACCTGCTCTTATCTTTTTGATAAAAATGTTGAGAGTTTGATGTATAATTTGTTTTTAATGCAGGTTCTTCAAGCAGCTCCTTGTGATATTCTTGCTTCAGCAAGTGGCTTATGGGATTTACAGGACAATTGCAGGGTTGTGTAGGACAATGATAATCTCAAACTCTGCAGGAACTCTATCAATTTTATTTTTTTTAATTGTTGGAGGCTTTTTTCTTCCTAAAGGTTAATTTTTATAGTCATACTCTCTCTACGCCCAACATGTGTGTTATGAAAATATACCAAATAGAGAAAAATTCACCTTAAATTTGTATTTTAATGAAAATTTCAATATATATATATATATATATATATAT